AACAAAATGAATTTCAACATGGAGAAATGTAAGGTACTGTACTTAGGACAAAAAAGTGAAATACAGGATGAGAGACACTTGGCTTAACAAGAAAATGTGTGAAAGGGATCTAGGAGTCCTAGTAGACCACAAGTTGAACATGAGTCAACAAGTGTAATGCGGCAGCTTAAAAGGCCAATATGATTCTAGGGTACATCAACAGAAGTATAGAATCTAGAATCAAGGGAAGTAATAGCTCCTGTATTCTGCTTTGATCAGGCCTCACCTGGAATACTGTGTCCAGTTCTGGGCACCACAGTTTTAAAAGGATGTTGAGAAGCTGGAGAATGTCCAAAGGAGGAGAGACTTAGGGAGCTGGGTATGTTTAGCCTGGAGAAGAGATGGTTAAGAGGTGATATGATAGCCCTGTTTAAATATCTGAAGGGGTGTCATATTGAGGATGGAGTAAGGTTGTTTTCTGTTGCTCCAGGGAATGGGACCCCAACAATGGATGCAAGCTACTGGAAATGAGATCCCAGCAAAACATTAGGAGGAACTTCCTGACAGTGAGAACTGTTCGACAGTGGAACACTTTCCCTTGGAGAGTGGTTGAATCTTCTTCTTTGGAGGTCTTTAAATAGAGGCTGGATGGCCATCTGTCGGGGATGCTTTGATTTTGAGTTCCTGCATGGCAGGAGGTTGGACTGAATGGCCCTTGCAAATGCAAGTAAATAGGTACTACTTTGGTGGGAAGGTAAACAGCATTCTGTGCACTCATGCTGGCTATATGATCACAGAGTAGTCTCTGACAACACTGGTTCTTCAGCTTAGTAATAGAGATGAGCACCTCCCCCATGGTTGGACATGACTTGACAACCTTCTCAATGGGGAATATCTTTACCTTTATTGAAATGTGTACCTTCATTCTTTCTCAAGCTTTAGTTTAAAACATTTACATATCCTCTTTTGAAAAAGACATAAGGGCTGAGATCTTATGCCATGCTGGTGGAGTGTAACTGTCTGTTATACTAATAAGGGATAACAGAATCTGCTTCCTCATGCAACAGCAGCCAGGGTGTTGGTGTTTGATGGCCGTGGGCTTGTCTCCTTGGCCACTGGCTATCTCTGTTCATAGTGTCAGGCTGTTTCTTCCTCCCTTGGTGCTCAAGCAGGCGCTGAGGTTTAGTCAATCAGTGGCCAGAGAGATGGAGCTATGCTCAACAGTCCCCAGGTGTCACTACCTGATGGGATGGGGACCTTGCTAGGGGTGGTGCTGTATTGGACACCTGGTTCTGCAAGGTCCAAAAATATACATTTGCAGTCATATTATGTATATGGATATCATCAACAGGATTCCAACTGAGCACTAACCTGAAAAAAAGACTCCAATGGACACAGTTGCAGAAGAGAGCCATACCCAGAGATTACCAAGCTCAGTGAAAGTAGAGACATCACATCCTGATGAAAACTTTTGGTGAATCTGTAAGCTTTCTGTGGATTTTTGGATAGTCTGAATACATGGTATTAGGCTACTTTTGCTTCTGGATCCCCTCACTGGCCAATGAACAAAATATACATTTTTTTTTTTGCCAGCAGAGTATCTTAAGTCTTCAAAATACTTAATAAAAACAAGGTGGCAATATTTGCTTTCCTCCTAGGTTCAGGTAAATCAAAATGAAAGAGAGCAGATCCACAAATGAGGTAGGGTGGAGGGAGAAGAACAAATCCCAGAAAAGCTGACAGACAAAGTAACAGAAAACATTCACAGAACTACGCCTCCTACATAATGCTAACTGGTAGGTTTGAGTAAATGGATATAGTGGGCCCTTGGTACCTGATGGGGTTTGGTTCCAGGATCTTCCATGGATACAAAAATCTGTGGATGCTCAAAGTCCCATTAAATACAATGGTGTATTAAAATGGTGTCCTTCATATAAAATAGCAAAATCAAGGTTTGCCTTTTGGAACTTATGTATACTTTTGAAATATTTCAAGCTGTGAATGGTTGAATCCATGGATAAGGAATCAATGGATACAGAGGGCCGACTGTATTTTGTAGATCAAATTAAGTTACATCTCAGAAATGTTCAGGATAGAATGTGCTTATTTCCAAGAGCTCTGTGAGGATATACAGTTGTCCCTCCTAGTTCGTGGACTTCCCATTTGCAGTTTGAATTTCTGCGGATGGGAAGCCAGGAGGGACAATTATATCCAATGGGGATTGGATATTTATGGTTTTTCAGATTCGTGGGTATGGGTGGGTCTGGAATGAATCAGGAGGGACGACTGTATTTTGGTCCACTTCAAGATCCATGGTCCAAAAAGCAAATAAGGAAATAATGAAATAATGAACAAGAACTCCATGGTGATCTCATTATCTGAGATGATAACCACATGATAGGGGCATAAATCCAAGAACTGGATCAGAGACATCTTAATTTGTT